CTTTCTCAAATCAGTGAGAGAACATGTACATTGTTAGGTAACTGTAGGAAAAGGAAAATAACTATTCTCAGGTGTTTCTTCACATATTACATTCTTTTCCATTGCTTATGACTTGCCATAGGGCCTTTGATTTATTGTCAGATTGTTCTATGATGCTAGCTTTAGTAAATTGGCTCGGGCCCACAGGCATTCGAGGTTTCAAGTTTCTTGGGGGTGCAAGGAAGAGCAAATTTCCTATTTAGGGAATAAGCTATAACCCTATGTTTCATGGTAAGATCTAGACCCTGGGCCATTTACTTTTTTTTATGTTTCCAGAGGTTGAGTTTAGCACGATAACTCAAATAAAAATTATCCGATTTTATCTACGGCTATTTGAACGAGTTTGCAAACCTGAACTATCAGACAATGTAAACAGGGGTTTTCCCAATTTTGACCCTCTACATATAAAATTTCACAGTTTCTTTTCAAACCATTTTGTAGAGCGCAAAAATGAATAATTTAGTTAACTGAAGTGTTATTGTAGGCCTACGTGAAATAGTTGTAGAGAAAATTATGTAGTAGAATTGTGGATATTTATAGGAATGCACTGTGGATGCGATGCTCCCTGGTGTGGATTAACGTCCGCACTAGTGAGTACTACGACTATCCGCAGTACTATCCTGATAATTAGACCAATTCGTAAATTACAAGGAAAAATGTGGTTCGGATTCCACTATAAACTGTAGGTCCCTTAGTTGCCATTAGCTGTATGGGCTATTAATTAACAGCTGTGTGTCTAAGGAACATGTCGGCCTTAGTCACTAACAAGACTACAAGATCGCGCCACTCATCCTACACTCATCCTTCACTCATATTTGGGTTAAAATACGCACATAGTGGCGTCCCCATCTTAAATAATTGATAATTGATAATTAATTGATAATTGAAAATTCTAAAAAATATCAATTTAAATTTCCCTTGTTAATCTTATGGAGAATAAGTAAACTGTTGTAGGTTACTCTTGATTAATATGTGGCAAATGTTTTTTTTTACCAAGCTATTAAAATTAACAAAAAAAATTATGACATTCCTTGTAGCAGCAGACTTAAGTACTCACTAAACCTAATTTTACTTGAATTGGCAAAAAATCTAACTTGATCAAGGGAATATTTTACTGAAAATCTGACCAGGCAAATGGAAATTCTCAAAGTAAGCAGGTTTGCTGCAGCGACTAATCCTGAATTCTTTTAATTTGAGTGAGCGAGACTAAAATAACTAAATATACCTTTAAAATATTTGAACAAACCATTAAGGACTAGATAAATTAATACAAAAAAAATACAATTATCAAATATCAAAATGATGTAATGCCTAAAATAAATTTCAAAGAATGTTTAACATTTGTAATCATTAACACTGCCATCAACTATTCTAAAGGATATATTGCTGAGATAATAATAACAAGGGCCGTTAATTTGAATGTGTTCACGGCTATGCTTGAATAACAATAATGGCGAGGTTAATGGAACAGGGCTCGGATAATGTACTGTGATGCATACACAGGGTATTATAATGCCATAGTGATGCAACTACGACGCTATACTGTAGTGCTTTAAAGTAGAATAACGATCCTACAAAGTAGATACTTTAGACATGAGATATGGACTAAACTAATGTATTATGTTTTGAGTCTCCTAAAACCCAAAAAAGTGATGTTTGTGTATGTGAATGTGTACAGAGCTACATTTTACACTAGTTGTTCGATGTTAATGAAATTCTTTATGTGGGTACATTGTCTCTTTAGGCGAATCATAAGCCATTGAGGCACTTGAGGCACAACATATTACCGAGCCATTGGTGAACGGACTCCGAGGTTCGAGGTTCATTACTGAAGTCCTGGTCTCTTTTTACGAGTTAATTTGACTCAAGACAAGCTTAAACTATGCAAATGGTAAAATAGAGATGGATTATAAATGAAGACCGCTACTCTGATTTTTTAAAAAGTTAATTGTGTGAAACTGAATGAAAAATTGATGGGAAGATGAGTTAATACTGTCACTAAGTAAATTAAATTCAAGTTAATCATATAAAAAGAAAATCTGTCACCAACTGGGTGTTACCGGAATAGAATAAATAAACACTAATGCCTTCAAATGAAACACCAGTTTTTGTTTATTCTAAGGAAATACTAACCTTTATAATTTTTTTTATTTGTAAAAATAATTAAAGTTTTTACTAGTTTTTCTTACATTAACGATTCAGTACGTTACCAATTAAAATTACTGTTCTATATAAAACCTCATTGTTTGAATTTTAGCTAATGATGAGCTGAAGGATTGACAAGCTTTAATGATTTAGTCTTATAATTTTTTTGTTTTTGTGAAAAATGTCAAAATTCTTTTTATATTTGTAGTAGGCTAAATTTGTTTTTGTTCCATAGATGGACTTAGAATAGTTAAATAATATATTTGCCTGAATATCTTAATTGACAAAAAAATACTAGTTGAGAAACTAAAGCTCAACTTAAAAAAATACATACATTTCATTTGCTTAGGTCAAAATATATATTTGTTACGTTTATTTTCAAAAATTCCCTTGATGAGACCCAAAAGAATTCTACTAACTTAATACTACTACTACAACTAACTTAATACTACTCATAACTTAATTTGCTCTGAAAGAAATGTTTTGTGGAAATTCAACAATTTGGAGGGTAGCAAAGTGCTGATGACAGTAGTTAAGTCTGCCAAGCCACCATTTGTTTTACAACCCGACTGCGAAAAAGAATGAAAAGCTTTAAAGTTGCCGTTGATGAAACGGTTTGTTCAATTCTGTTGATCTTCACTCGATTTTGATGAAATTTCGTTTTTATCCTTGGTTTTTATAATAAATAAGCAATTTTAAAGGAAGAGGAAGGAATTTGGTTTGATCCGTATTAAATTGTTTGTCCCCTTTCCATAAATTACTCTTTTCCTAAGTAATATATCAAAAGTTTTTAGGTAAAAAATGCTTAGCATACCATAAAAGATATAGTATGTATAAACTTAAAACATAAAAGGAACAGTATTTTTTAATTAATTTTTACTAAACAATGCACTCTGAAACTAAAGGGATTGTTCAATTGCAATAAATAAGCTACAAAAATTGCAGATAATTTGTTGTGGTGAAATTCCACTGATCCACTAATGCAACCACCCCTTATAGTCCAGTCAATGAATGATCCAAAAGTAGGTGTAGAGTGCGTGAGCATGTAACTAAGCGATTCCTTCAGAAACTTGTTCAGGGGGCTTAGGGTGTTAACATACCAAAAGTCCTGACTCCTAGGTGGTGAGCCAGTGGGTGGAGGGGGGGGGGGAAGGGGGGGAAAAAGGTACGCATTTTGGGTTTTTTTATTATATCTCGAAAACTATCAACTTTTTGTATACTATAGTAAATTATAAAATTGAAGAAGATTAAATTTTCTACAAGAAAAGTATATAATGTGTTTATTTTGGTTCAACAGATTACGAGTTATAACTTATTTAATTGATATCTTATTAAAATACTCCTTCCATAAGAAATACATGTAAATTAGTATGCGAAATGGGGCGAATCCTATCCGCCCAAAGGAAATATAACTGATATTCTGGAAATCTTGACCAAATTTCCAGTAATTTGACACTTAAATCATGAAATTTTGTCAAAAATTAAAGCGAGGGTGAGCGTTTGAAAATGAGATGATTTAAGGGTTTTTTTATATTTCCAATAAAAAAACACCAAAACTCGACATTTTGTTACCTCGCCCGCGCCTTAATTTTGGATCAATTTTAATGATTAAAGTGTCAAATTACTGGAAATTTTGTCAAGATTTCCAGAATATCATTTATATTTCCTTTGGGCGGATAGGATTCGCCCCATTTCGCATACTAATTTACATGTATTTCTTATGGAAGGAGTATTTTAATAAGATATCAATTAAATAAGTTATAACTCGTAATCTGTTGAACCAAAATAAACACATTATATACTTTTCTTGTAGAAAATTTAATTTTTTTCAATTTTATAATGTACTATAGTATACAAAAAGTTGATAGTTTTCGAGATATAATAAAAAAACCCAAAATGCGTACCTTTCTCCCCCCCCTTTTTCCCCCCTCCACCCCCTGGCTCACCACCTAGGAGTCAGGACTTTTGGTATGTTAACACCCTAAGCCCCCTGAACAAGTTTCTGAAGGAATCGCTTAGTTACCTGCACACGCACTCTACACCTCATTCCTTGACTGGACTATTAGTTAAAGAGGAAGACAATATTTTGTTTGTTTTTTAAAGCCATTTAAAATATGGATTACTCAAATTATTGAATGATAACCGGTGTTAGAAGTACTCTATGTATACTCTCTACTGCCTGCCATTTGAGGATAAAATCACATGTTTTATTAATTGTTATGATCTATTTACTTACTTGTTTACATTTTATCAGTTTTTGTTCTCAACCATGTTAATAAACCATCAATTGTTTTTCATTTTTTTTTTAACAAGTATTTATTTACAATCTATTCTATACTAGAATAATAAGTAAATTGTTTTTCATCTCTTTTATTTTGTAAAATCTAATCAATCATACTATCTATCATTAACATTAATTGTTATGATCTATTTACTTACTTGTTTACATTTTATCAGTTTTTGTTCTCAACCATGTTAATAAACCATCAATTGTTTCATTTGTTTCACATCTGATCATAAGGTACAGTTTCAGATCCTCCTGGCTAAATATTGTATATATCCACGTGATACCACATAACAATGTCCCTATGTGACCTACCTGGAGGGTTAGGGTTACCTATCTGGGAAACAAGAATAGATATCTCCCAACTCAGGTTATAAAAGAATCACCCCCACAAACTAAATATCAACTAAATGAGTACCTGGCCATTTTGCCAGGTTTTTAAATCAGACAAAATTATTAAAAACTATTAATGACAGCAAAGTTTAAAAGATAAGTTTTCCAAATAAAATACTTACAAACTATTCGTACTCACCATAAAGTCGAATTTTCTTGTCCTTGGTTTCTACGATGATAATGACATAACCGCTGAGGTCCACCATTATATTTTCTGGACATGCTATCTCCATTCCATCAGTCCCGAGGCATGTTTCAGCGCCCACATCACGCACGATGCACGGCAGTCTAACGTCGACCACTAGGGTCGTCCCACAAAGCACGGCAGTCTAACGTCGACCGCTAGGGTCGTCCCACAAAGCACGGCAGTCTACCGTCGACCACAAGGGTCGTCTCACAAAGCACGGCAGTCTATACCGTCGACCACTAGGGTCGTCTCACAAAGCACGGCAGTCTACCGTAGACCAATAGGGTCGTCTCACAAAGCACGGCAGTCTACCGTAGACCACTAGGGTCGTCTCACAAAGAATGGTAGTCTACCGTCAACCACTGCGGTTGTCCCACGAAACACGGCAGTCCACCGAAGACCACTAGGGTCGTCTCACAAAGCACGCCAGTCTACCATCGACTACTGGGGTCGTCTTCGTCTTCGTCTGTCGCACAGTCCTCACTGGTCCCCGTCACGTGGGGGCTCTCCATCGCAACTGGCTCACTCACTACATCGCTCTCCACCTCAAGTTTGCACCTGAAACAAATCAAGTTTTTGTATTAGCAAATTTCCCTATTTTTTGCCTATTTACCGATTTTAGTTGTTTACAGACTATGCTATAATTTTAGCTGTTTTATGACATTGTCAATAATTTTTTTTAATTCATCAGACAATAAACATATTTTATTTCATTTCATTTAAACATGGAGTAATTTTTCTTCTATCTAAGAAGTGGACAGTGGATTGAATATTGAATATTATATTTATATTGCTTGTCAACTATAAATTTGTGAGATAACTCAAAGCAGATGGATGTGTTGCTATCCTAGTGGTTAGCTGCTGATAGTGACGGATCCGATCCACAGCAAACTAAGACAATTTGAGGGGATTGAACATCTTATCCTTAAAGTATTCGGTTCTTATTTATGCATAGTTAGGGTTATTGCTATGTTAGGGTAGACCCTAAAAAAGTTCAATTAAATGGATGGCAAAAACATAGAACAAAATTGATATCAGTATTCTAAAATGAGATTTAACATTTATAGCTTGTGGAAATTGTTTTGATTATTTTTTAAAAATAATGGTAGAGAAGACATTGGCGACCTCTTTTAACCTAGCATTTTCCTGTCCACATAGACTTTTCACCTGTGCGTGGAACATATCCAGCAAAGCAGGGGTGAGCCGGTACAGTACAAACGTGAACTGTACTAATAAAATGTTTGCCACAGTGACCAGGATCTGAACCCACGCGCTGCCTTGGGCCTGAAGTCGTGACGCTACAATACTGAATCAATCGAGTTGGGGTGTGTGTGTTTTATACACATGTGAGGATAAAATCACATTATTGGAGCAATTAATCCTTATTAAGAAATGGTAAATTTTTATTAACTTTCCCAATAAAAAGAAACAACTAAATTATAATTGAATACTTAAAACAACCTCGGTCAGTTATTTAAAACGGTTAAAATTTAACTGGGAAAAGAGGAACAACAGTAAACATTTACTATGGCTGCAATAAAGGGTCCAGTAGTGATGAGCAATACCTGATTGAGCATTGTTTGGATGAAAAATGTAATGACTCCCACCTGACCCCCCTCTGTTCCCTCCCATCCCCCAAGATCATCTGGTGTTCAGCTTATGACCCATCACTAATGATTTAATTTGGCGTGACTGTTTCCCATTTGTTTATTTCCCTCCCCACTTTGAATCTAAATCAACATTGGATGTTTAATTGAAAAAATAATCTGTTAGAAAATCCCTTACCTAAGTCGTAAATAAGTGTGGTAATAAAGGTGGAATTTAATTTTTGGTAAGTTAAGTAACCTAATTTGTTTCTAATTATTAGGGAGAAGTTCAATTTAAAAATTCAACTAATATAACTAACTACAACAGGTCAACTAATATACAATAACAACAACTAATATCTATAATATAGGTCTATAATAATAATAATATCTATAATAGATGAGTGAACGAAGTGAACGAATCTATGTATCGTGTATAGCGGAGTCGGAGAAAAGTTGTCCGCTGGAGTATGTGTGTGTGTGTGTTCGCACCTAAAACTCAAGAACCGTTGCACTTATAGCGTTCAAATTTTGCACAAATAGTTATGACACCAGTGTAAAGACACCATTAAAATTCTAGACGATTCCGCTCAGTAGTAATTATAAAATACTTAAAAAACATTTTTAAAATTGTCCCATAAGAATAACATTAGGAGCTACCTTCTTCTTCTTTTTATTTGTTTACGTTTTGCGACCAACAATTTTGTTGTCTACTTAAGACAGAGAGAACGACTTTTACTCTAAGCTCTTTCATTCATGGAGTAAACAGTTGGCGTCTATGAATATATATATATCATTATAATTTCACAGCTTTCAGAATAATGTTATTTAAGCTAATTAAATCCTACAACTTTCATAATAATAAATTGAACTTAACAATATTAGTCGGCAGTTATATACCGTTTATGTTCAGTATTAAAATTTCGCCTTTTAATTAAAAGTATATAGGTATGTATGTATTTAGAACAAAGCAGCTTTTTACATTATTCAATTTAATGTTGGCATTGAATATTAAATATTCAAAAATGTTGGTATATTTTTATACTAAAATGCTATGCGAAGGGGGGGGGAGAGGTCCCCGACGTAGAGAGTAGTAAAGAAAGCGGAAAGGTGAGCAGTGAAAAGAAAGGAGTACGGAAACCCTTTATGACTGTTAAATTAACGTATCTGTAATACTTAAATGCTATGGAAAGATAGGGAAACAGGTCTACGATGTAGGAAGTAGTGAAGGAAATGGTGAAGGAAGTAGTCAAGGCGAGCGCTGCGGAGTGTGGGGGGCCTTTATGACAGTTAGAATAATGTATCTGCAATTCTAAAAATGCTATGGGAAGGGAGAGAAACAGGTCCACGATGTAGGAAGTGGTGAAGGAAGTAGTCAAAGTGAGCAGTCCGGAGTGTGGGAAGCCTTTGTGACAATTAGATTAATGTATCTACCATAATAAAATGCTATAGGAAGGGAGGGAAACAGGTCCACGACGTAAGAAGCGATAAAGGAAGTAGTCAAGGCGAGCAGTCCGGAGTGTAGAAACCCTTTGTGGCAGTTAGATTAATGTATCTACCATAATAAAATGCTATAGGAAGGGAGGGAAACAGGTCCACGACGTAAGAAGCGGTAAAGGAAGTAGTCAAGGCGAGCAGTCCGGAGTGTAGAAACCCTTTGTGGCAGTTTGATTAATATAACTGCAATTCTAAATTCCAATAGGAAAGGAAGGAAACAGGTCCACGACGTCGGAAGCGGTGATGGAAGTAGTCAAGGCGAGCAGTCCGGAGTGTAGAAACCCTTTGTGACAGTTAGATTAATATACCTGCAATACTAAAATGCCATAGGAAGGGAGGGAAACAGGTCCACGACGTAGGAAGTGGTAATGGAAGTAGTCGAGGCGAGCATTCTGGAGTGTAGAAACCCTTTGTGGCAGTTAGATTAGTGTAACTGCAATTCTAAAATGCTATGGGAAGGGAGGGAAACAGTTCCATGACGTAGGAAGCGGTGATGGAAGTAGTCAAGGTGAGCAGTCCGGAGTGTAGAAACCCTTTGTGACAGTTAGATTAATATACCTGCAATACTAAAATGCTATAGGAAGGGAGGGAAACAGGTCCTCGACGTTGGAAGTGGTAATGGAAGTAGTCGAGGTGAGCATTCTGGAGTGTAGAAACCCTTTGTGACAGTTAGATTAGTGTAACTGCAATTCGAAAATGCTATGGGAAGGGAGGGAAACAGGTCCATGACGAAGGAAGCGGTGATGGAAGTAGTCAAGGCGAGCAGTCCGGAGAGTAGAAACCCTTTGTGACAGTTAGATTAATATACCTGCAATACTAAAATGCTATAGGAAGGGAGGGAAACAGGTCCACGACGTAGGAAGTGGTGAAGGAAGTAGTCAATGTGAGCAGTCCGGAGTGTCGGAAGCCTTTGTGACAATTAGAATAATGTATCTGCAATTCTAAAAATGCTATGGGAAGGGAGGGAAACAGGTCCACGACGTAGGAAGTGGTAATGGAAGTAGTCGAGGCGAGCAGTCCGGAGTGTAGAAACCCTTTTGACAGTTAGATTAATATACCTGCAATACTAAAATGCTATTGGAGGGGAGGGAAACAGGTCCACGACGTAGGAAGTGGTAATGGAAGTAGTCGAGGCGAGCATTCTGGAGTGTAAAAACCCTTTGTGATAGTTAGACTAATGTAACTGCAATTCTAAAATGCTATGGGAAGGGAGGGAAACAGGTCCATGACGTAGAAAGCGGTGAAGGATGTAGTCAAGGTGAGCAGTCCGGAGTGTGGGAACCCTTTGTGAAAGTTAAATTAATCTATTTGAAATTCTAAAATGCTGTAGGAAGGGAGGGAAACAGGTCTACGACGTAGGAAGTGGTGAAGGAAATAGTTGAGGCGAGCATTCCGGAGTGTAGAAACCCTTTGTGATAATTAGAATAATGTACAGTATCTGCAATTCTAAAAATGCTATGGGAAGGGAGGGAAACAGGTCCACGACGTAGGAAGTGGTGAAGGGAGTAGTCGAGGCGAGGAGTCCGGAGTGTGGGAACCCTTTGTGACAGTTAGATTAATGTATCCGCAATAATAAAATGCTATGAGAAGAGAGGGAAACAGGTCCACGACGTAGGAAGTGGTGAAGGATGTAGTCAAGGTGAACAGTCCGGAGTGTGGGAACCCTTTGTGAAAGTTAAATTAATCTATTTGAAATTCTAAAATGCTATAGGAAGGGAGGGAAACAGGTCTACGACGTAGGAAGTGGTGAAGGAAATAGTTGAGGCGAGCATTCCGGAGTGTAGAAACCCTTTGTGATAATTAGAATAATGTACAGTATCTGCAATTCTAAAAATGCTATGGGAAGGGAGGGAAACAGGTCCACGACGTAGGAAGTGGTGAAGGGAGTAGTCGAGGCGATGAGTCCGGAGTGTGGGAATCCTTTGTGACAGTTAGATTAATGTATCTGCAATAATAAAATGCTATGAGAAGAGAGGGAAACAGGTCCACGACGTAGGAAGTGGTAAAGGAAGTAGTCAAGGTGAACAGTCCAGAGTGTGGGAACTCTTTGTGACAGTTAGATTAACGTATCTGCAATAATAAAATGCTATGAGAAGGGAGGGAAACAGGAAATACGTTACGTATATTACCAATGACTTTGGTTAATTAATGGACGAGAAGTTAGGATTGTTGTTGGTTGAGATTTGTTTTTTTTAAGAGGTTGGTCCAGCCTCTTTTAACCTCGCCCGTGCGTGGATCGTTTACAGCAAAGCAATTGGTGAGTCGGTACAGTACAAAGGTGAACTGTACTGATAAAATTTAGTGGCAGTGACCAGGATCCGAACTCACGACATCGCTGCCTTGGGCCCGAAGTTCGCGTGACGCTACCGACTTGAGTCACCGACTCACCATTATTTGCCCCGACTCATGGGTTGATTTGCCCATACAAATAACATTATTGTGTACACCAGTGACACCGGTAAGTGTGCTAGGTGT